CTTTAACATGAAGTACATAGGTTAATCTATACAATAAATAATCGTGTGTATATAACAAGTGTGAAAAAATTCAAAGATTCAATACATATCTACCTGCCTTAAACAACCAATTCTGCAAATAACAAAATTATCAAGATACCCAAGCATGTATGATATACCCCTATTTGTGAATCAGATACAAGGATTGTCTGATTATAGTTTGTCTTTATATGTTCAAGTTAGAACTTATTTCTATTGCATTCTAAACAAATTATTTATTTTATTTCATTTTATTTTATTTTATTTTATTTTTCACAAATAACGGATTATTGAACTTACTCAATATTTGAAGAATAAAATTGTATGTATCGGCAAATTATTGAATAGTAAATGGTGTTACCCCAGTTTACAGTCAACTTGAACATTTCAACTTGATTTATGAATAATTTTCCGACGGTATACATATCGATGAGTTTTCGATTTTTAAATTTTAGTTACTTATTTTTATCTTTTTTGCCATAGGATTAGGTATACTAAATTCTTTCATAGAAACAAAGATTTGTTTTAGAAGTTTGACTGTAAATGTAGAAAACTTATTACAATAAACGGTGATGCTGTTTATCGAGCCCTTAAATTTAGATACGATCCGGGTAAACTTATTGATCCTTTAGATAAACTTATTCTAAAAGGTTACCAATTTAACGCTGTAATTATATCTCTTGATATTGTTTAAATTGGATGTTGGATGTGTGCTGATTGATATTCATTATTGTATATAGTCTTAGATACATTATAATTTATTTATTATTTGTTATTGGCTATGAATTAGCTTTCAGTAACTTCGATTAATCTCAGGTCTGTACTTTGTGTCTTTTGTATTTGTAGTTTTGTAGTTGTCGTCGTCGTCCGAAGACATTTGGTTTCCAGACAATAACTTGATTATACGTATATGGTTCTCTATGAAATTTAACCACAAGGTTCCATACCACAAAAGGAAAGTTGGGATTGAGTTTGGGGGTTAATCTACTGTTTAGGGATTAGTGGCCAAAACATGCATTTTCCTTGTTTTAGGATCTTTATGAAATTGTACCACAAGGTTCCATACCTCAAAAGAAAGTTCGGATTGATTTTGGTGTCAGGGCCCAAACCGTTTAGGAATTAGGGGCCAAAAACAAGGATTTTCTGGTTTCAGGACAATTACTTGAGTATAAGTCTATGGATCTCTATTAAATTGTACCACCAGGTTCCATTCTAAAAAAAAAGAAGATTGGGATTGATTTTGAGGGTTATGGCTCTAACCGTTTTAATTTATTTCTAATACTTTGTATGAATTGCTTATTTCTTGACCAATTTCAATGGTTTTTAATTCAAAGTCTTGAATTCTTGCGGTTTTTTATTATGCTGAATCTAACCATGTATTAAGATTTTTGATTTTGGTCCCGTTTTTAAATTGGTTTAAATTAAGGTTCAAATGGTCCAAAACTAGACTAAGTTTGATTTTAATAAAAACTGAATTCTTGGGGTTCTTTGATATGCTGAATCTAAAGATGTATTTAGATTTTTTATTCTGGGCACCGTTATCAAATTGGTCCACATCGAGGTCCAAAGGGTCCAAAATTAAACTTTGTTTGATTTCAACAAAAATTAATTCTTGGGGTTCTTTGATATACTGAATCCAACTGTGTATTTATATTTTGTATTTGGGACCGTTTTCAAATTGGTTTACATTGAGGTCCAAAAGGGTCCAAAATTAAACTACATTTATATAGTGTGATCTCCAAAAAGTATCTTATACTATGTGTAACATCGAGTTGCAGGTGTGCACTGAATATATGTCCAGAGCTACAGTAACGGTACACACATGACCTACGAAAGTTGATAATCTTGGACAGTGGTCAAATCCGCATGTAACCCATTTGGTACGTAGACACGAGACCTGAAACAACCATATTGTAACTTTTAGTTATCATTAAATAAACAGCATCGATATCAATCTATTGATTTTTGAAATATTTCCGCATTTATTTATAAACATCATTAAAATCATATAATAGTCGTTGCCCTTCGATCAACACTGACACAAACTAGGAGGAAATCTGATATTGTTATAATGGTCCATTTAAAAAACAATTGAGAAACAATTCGTTTGAATGTATTTTAATATAAACTATTTGTTGAGTCATAATGATATAATACGGTCATCAACAAATGATTGAAAGATTTTATGTACTTAAATGGATAATGCTGAAACAGATTATGAATATTTCAACATGGTAACCCGTTTTTATTTATATTAAAGAAAGTACAATAATGAAACAAAGTATGTCATGGATGGAGACATATGAAGAGAAATGTCTTTGAATACAATGTATATGTCACCTATAGTTGTTAATTTCTGTGTCAGTTGGTCTGTTATGGAGAGTTGTCTCATTGTCAATCATACCACATCTTCTTATTTTTATAATTAAAAAATACACACACACATGCAATTACAAGACGTGGTAAGAACTGGTTTCTTAAACTTGAAACCAGTAATTATCTGTGTAATCCGTATTTTTCGAAGGTATAGAACAACAAAGAATATGTGGTATCCATCCATGACACAAAATCAGTGCTTGCACAGCAAAAAACAAACACAAAGCAAAGGAACAGCGCTTTTATTGCTGTTCGTCATCTCAAAGTCACAGTAAGGCCTTCAACACGGAGCAAAAACTATCACCTCACTGCAAGTTTAAGACGGCACCGGTTTGAGCGGAATTCTTTGCAATTTATAATTCGGATATTTATTTGACGCGAACAAATAAAGCTAGGATTCCTGTATTTATCAAACGAGCAGTGGTCCATATTTTAAAATCAACTAGAGGCTCCTAACAAACTGAATCGCTCACCTATAATTTCAACTGCTAATGGCTATTCTCTAACCTATGTTCAATCTCTTTAAGTTTAATCCTGATATTCGAATTTTAGAACTATTTCATAAGGTTCAAATTTCGCCAAACTAAGATTGACGCAAGGCTGCCCTGGTTATCAATGGACAAAAAAACGATCATATATAACCCGGCGCGGGACGTTTGCGTATTTTTATAGGACGTTTGCGCTTTTTTAAATGGACATTGTGGCTTTTGATTTTAAGTTGCGTAATGATTACAATTCATTAAGATTTTAAAGGTAAAAACGCAAATGTCCTGTCAATTTAATACAGGTCCGTCAAAGATTAAAGCGCAAATATCCTTTCATGTTACGTGTAAAAAATGAGCTGATGTCCTGTGCCCCTCTACACAGGGAAATTTCACTCACACGAATTTCACGTGATCTAATATTCATGTGAATCTCACGTGAAATTCACCTCAAACGAGCTTATACGTGAAACTCACATGAAAATCACATGAATCTCATGTCAATCACATAAATCTTTTCACATGAATTTCACGTGAATTTTCAAAATAAGGTTATTCAAATAACATCCAAATTTTCAAATGTAATTCAAATCATGAAAAATATCATTTTTTTTTAAAGTTCTTGTGAAATTGACGTAAAAAATGTCACGTGATATTGATGTGAATCTTAATTCACGTGAAATTCATGTGAAAATCTTCACGTGAGTTTCATGTATAAGCCCATATGAGGTGAACTACAAATGAAATTTTTCATGTGAATTTCACGTGAGATTCATATGAAATTCACGTGAGCAAAAATTGCCTGTGTAACCAGACTGGTCGAAATTGTTGTATTACTTCATCTGATTATTCAAATGAAAGATAAATTGAAAAATAATATTGTGATTGTTTTGTCCAAATTTATGGAATGCCTTTTCGTTTTATTAGTTAATAAAAGGAGTCATTTATGATAAAAACAGTACTAATAACTCGTTACTTTTATGAATAATGACCTTGACTATTTTTATGAGTAATGACCTTGACTATTTTTTCATCATGCTAATAGTGCGTACAAAAACGTAGATCTATACCCAGTGTTATTTTATACACGTATAAAAGTAATATTTGCACATGTATAGCGTAATATATACGAAGTACAATAAATAAAAATCACACAGTATTTATGACTGATAGTTTATTACGCTATTCAGGTTAAGTGTTTTAAATGTTATTTACAAAACACTCAATAAGAGGGTCTGGTTGGGTTTACAGAAAAGAAAATAATCGGCAAAACGAAAATAAAGAACAGAGAAAATGAAAAAAAAAATGAAGAATAGATAATAACGGGGTGCTTAAATATAAAGAATACTAGAGATTAATGGGTAAGCAAACTGAAGCTTGGTTGCTTGTGATTTTATTGCAAAGAAAATAATGTGTTGTACCTCATACGTATTAGGTTTTTCCTGTTATATTACTGAGTTAAGAAATATATTTTTAATAAATTTTCTCGATGCGTTTTAAATCATAACCATTTGCCCATTTTGAGCGATATCATCTTTCAAAAACTTATTCACATTCGTCTTGATAAAAGGCGACGTAATATATTTCACATGGTATGGACGGAGTCTTCATCTCGGGACGTATTTCATAAAATAACGTCATAATCGTATGTCATTAAACACGAACTTGCTCAAACTACATTTATACAAAATTGCACTGCAAAAAAGTACTTGTAATCATTTATTGTTTCAAACCATCAGTATTGGATTTTAGTATTTTTCCAAATATACCAGACGCATAGATTAAACAACGATTGTCAATCATTAAAAACCCTACATGTATGTATAAATATATGCCTTTTTTGTGCAATTTGTGTTGTGAGGTTTTGTGTCCATACAGTTATGTCTTACGTACTGTTTCATTTATAAACCAATCTTCTGTTGGACATCTGACTTTAAAGAAAGTCTACAAATATAAAAATAAGAAGATGTGGTAAACTGGTATGGTTGCCAATGAGACAACTCTCCAAAAGAGACAAAAAAAGAAATAAAACAGAAATTAACAACAATAGGTCACCGTAAGGTCTGTAACAATTAACAAAGCCCATACCGCAGATCTATTCTATATCCATTTTATTCATTTCAGACATTCAATAAGAGGAAGGCAAACAATGGATACCATTTGTCTGCTGCAGCTTTTTATTTTGTTATTCTTGACATTCAATGTACATGGTAACAGAACTTTCCCGATTGGAGATCCAAGAGCATGTGATATCGAGACAAAGCCACAATATATATTTGAGGTTCTACCAGGTCTAGGATGGGATAATCTCGTCAACGAAAACAGAGGAGTTGTTGTTAATTTCAACTACTCTAAATGCAAAACAACCGAGGACCGACGTTATTTGATTCCAGATGGAGTTGTTACAATACCAATCAAAACGAGTCGGATGAATGTTTTCTCGAAGATGTACGATCATTGGTCGCAGTATGAAACTGACACGTCTTTTTCTATTAATACGGGTGGATCTGCGTCATTCAAAGGCATTGGGATTTCCGCCAGTTTTTCGTCTGAGTTTGAACATGTTAAATCACACCAGATTGAGGACAAATCGCTAACAACAAAAGTCCAAGCACGGTATGTGCGTTACACGGCGAAGGTTTTACCCGATGCGCAACTAGATCCGTCGTTTCGCTCCCGCTTGCTCAAAATAGCAAGTCACATACAACACAACCGGAAGTCGTCAGCACGCTACGAAAGCGAGCTACTCGTTCGAGATTTCGGAACTCATGTTCTCACTTCTATAGACGCTGGAGCATCTATTGTCAAAGTAGATCAGGTTAAATCCTCATTATTACAAGACAAAACAATGAATAAGTTCACAATATCATTAGCCGCTAGCGTTTCTATTTTAAGCCTTATCAGCGTTCACAATTCAGAGAAATTTTCTATCACTAAGACTGAAATTGAAAAGTACATGAAACAGTTAACGGATTCTGACATCAGGACATATGGAGGACCAGCACTCAACCCTGAAAACTTCACGCTAGGAAAGTGGGCCTCAGAAATTGACAACGATCTGGTTCCTGTAGACAGAAATGGGTTCCCACTCGATCATTTCATAACAACAACTGCACTTCCTGAATTATCCGAAAGTCTTGTACAAGAGCTAACACAAAGTATTAGGACTGCCATTATGACGTATTATAAGCACAACACATATCCCGGATGTACAAACATTGATGCACCTAACTTTAGTTATATTGCCAATGTTGAGGACGGTACATGTCACGCCCCATTAACAAACTTAAGTTTTGGGGGAGTGTTCCAAACGTGCAAGTTTGAAGGCAAGCTTATAAACAACGAGGACCTTTGTGCAAAACTAAGAACAAAAAATCCCAAAACACAAGATTACAGCTGTCAAAGCGGATACGAACAAACACTTTTACACACTAGCGAAACCTCAAAATCTCAGCACACTCATTCATGTCATAGTTGTTGGATTTTCTTCACATGCTGCCATGATCATTCATACCACGGCACAGCAAAATATACCAGCTATTGGTGTCAGGCTCCTAAAAATGCAATGGTTCCTCAGGATAGCGGATACTTATTTGGTGGTCTGTACTCTGATAAAACCAACAATTTCGTTACACAATCTCAATCGTGTCCGCAATACTATTTACCATTGACGATTACCGCTAACATTCATGTCTGTGTTAGCGATGATTACGAACTGGGGTCGAAGTCAGCCGTTCCCTTCGGAGGATTTTACAGTTGCTCGAACGGTAATCCGATGGCTTCAGCTAAACAGGTTTTAAAAGCTTGTCACCACGGATACAGCAATCATTTAGCAACCATTGACAACGACTGCGAAATAATGTATTGTGCTCAAACAGGTGCTTTATCAGAGTTAAAATTCCCTCGCGTACAACTTCCTCCTTTTACAGGGATTCCAGCAGAAAGCATTGAAACTCCCGCAAATTATATCATATCACATGACGGACAGTCTTGGATGCAACTGATCGACCCTGCTACCAAAACTTCTGAACCAGAAGAAAACAAATGGACAACATTGCAATCTGCTCACGTAGAAATGCGTTCTCTGCTGAAAACATTTGAAAATAATCACGTTAAATATACTGCGGACGAAGGAATGTCGAAAGGAGCTGTTGCAGGATTATCAGTCGGTCTGACAACAGCAGTATGTTTGGTCGTAGGAGTTTTCATCATCATAAGACGAAATCGTCAACAAACTGTTACAGCTGAATATAGATCTATCCATTAACATTTCGTTTTACTTGAGTTGTTGAATTTTGCATGACAAATGCGATTTGTGAATTGTTTAAAAAAAATATTTTCCCTGAAGATACAATGCATTTAACTCTGACAGGTTTTTTTTACACATATGCATAATTCTGAGATCATATAATTTGTATATATTTTATCGTGTGTTCTTTGACTGTCAATCTGTTAACGTTTTGAGTATATATTTTATAAATAAATTTGAAAAAAAAATCATGCATAGTGTAAAAAATATAACAAAAACCGAACTCCAAAGTAAATGGGAAAGAGGACGTCAATCCAAACTGACAAAATCTAATATTTTTTTTTGTAATTTGTTTGTTTATTTTTGACATAAAGACAGACTACATCAAGCTTGATAACACATGTACAGTTTCAAGTATGATCTTTAAGATATTTCCTTTAAAGTCTATTCTATTACATCATCTCTAAATAGAAAACATAAAAAATGATATAACTGTAATTTCTGAACCAGTTATGCAATATTTAAATCACCTAGGACAGATCGTAATGGCAAACATTTTTAATATATATTTTTTTAAGTAGGGGATACGTTATTGTTAATAACCGTATGTTGTTCTATTCTTATACAATACTTTAAATATTCAGTACTACGTTTCACAGAAGGTTTTTCTGCTGAATGTTTACAGCTATATAAATATAATATTTTAAAATCAACATTTTATGTTGAAATGTATTATATGGGTCACAAATTTACCCAATACCAAAAATAACACCCCTTGCATCTCTATCTGTATCTGTACAAAATCCAATATTGTCAACCAACGGAACTAGTGAACAAAACTGTAATATTCCTGACTTGGTACAGTCATTTCCCAAAGGAAATTGTGGGTTAAACCTGGTTTTATAGCTAGCTAAACCCTCTGATTTTAATGAATAAAAATATAGGAAGATGTGGTATGATTGCCAATGAGACAACTCTCGACAGAGACTAAATAACATAGAAGTTAACATCTATAGATAACCGTACGACCTTCAACAATTAGGAAAGCAAAACCCATACCGCACGGTCAGCTATAAAAGGCCCTACAATGACAAATGTAAAACAATTCAAACGACAAAACTAACGGCCTGATTTATGTAGAAAACAATAAACGAAATACAAATATAATATACAGCAACAAACACGACAACCACTGAATTACAGGCTCCTGACTTGAGATAGGCATATTCAGAATGTGGCGGGGTTAAACATGTTTGAAAGCGCCAACATTCATTGTTTACAACTTTTTAAGAACTTAAAATGCATATATTCATTTTAATATGTGTGCTGCCTATAGTACGTTGTCCGATTTAGTACATTCTATTTCCTGTTCAATTCAAAGAAAAATGAAAATGATAGATAGTTTGATAAGATAAGATGACATCTCAAAATAAATATATGATTTTGTTTAGATGACATCTCAAAATAAATATATGATTTTGTTTAGATGACATCTCAAAATAAATATATGATTTTGTTTTAAGATTATATACGGACAAGGAATAGCAAAATTATCCAACGAAGAAAAAAGTGAGTCCTGGCAAAATACTACAAACTATGGGGAAACATACTTTGTGAAAGGAAGAATTACATAAATTTGTTTATGTAAAATTGAGAATGGAAATGGGGAATGTGTCAAAGAGACAACAACCCGACCATAGAACAGACAACAGCAGAAGGTCACCAACAGGTCTTCAATGCAGCGAGAAATTCCCGCACCCGGAGGCGTCCTTCAGCTGGCCCCTAAACAAATATATATACTAGTTCAGTGATAATGAACGCCATACTAAACTCCAAATTGTACACAAGAAACTAAAATTAAAAATAATACAAGACTAACAAAGGCCAGAGGCTCCTGACTTGGGACAGGCGCAAAAATGCGTCGGGGTTAAACATGTTTATGAGATCTCAACCCTCCCCCTATACCTCTAGCCAATGTAGAAAAGTAAACGCATAACAATACGCACATTAAAATTCAGTTCAAGAGAAGTCCGAGTATGATGTCAGAAGATGTAACCAAAGAAAATAAACAAAATGACAATATTACATAAATAACAACAGACTACTAGCAGTTAACTGACATGCCAGCTCCAGACTTAAATTAAACTGATTGAAAGATTATGTCTTCATCATATGAATATCATTACATATGTATGTAAAAAAAAATTGCCTTGTTAGAAAAACAAGTTGGTTTGTGTTGCACTTACTTAAACCAATGTGAAGGGGGCGGTATCAATTGATTTTTTTCGTAACGTTCACATTTTTTGACTTAGACATCTCCAAAGCGACATTTTACAATATCTTATTTGTTTGTATTCATACATAAAACATGCCAGTATTGGTTGAGATAATATGTTACAGGTAATTTATTAGATACTACAAGTGTAATTAAAACTATAAAAGTTAGACTTGTATATCATGATAGCATAGCAACAGTTCAGTGCTTGTCATGTTTGATTGGTAGTTGTGTGTCAATTGAACTGTCAGACACAGTAAGTCAAATCTTTAAAATTTATCATTTGATAAAAAATTGGTGATAATAACTGTATTTATAGATTATCTTTGGTCATCTCAACGAGATTGATTTTCTCGCTTGAGCCGGTACGGCGAAAGTGAGAAAAGCAATCGAGTTGAGATGACCAATGATAATCTGTTTATCGCTATTTTACCTATGACGACGTTGTCAATTTCATTAGCAACGCCACGTGCCCCCTTAGTTTCTAGCGATACTTTTTCATATCACTCGACTCCGCTGAGAAGGGAAATTATCAGTCAGCAAGATCAAAGGAACATTTCGTAAAATAGCGATAAATAATTTTAGCACCACAAATGTCCATCAAATGCAATTTTTCAAGTCTAACGTAGATTATTAGATGACAAAATGTATAGTATATGAACTACACAGACACAACCAAAATCGAAAGTATTTTATCTCTTCAACGTTTAATGATAGACAATTATAGATTAAACCATTTTTGATATTTAATTGTTTAGGCAGCTTCAATAATCAATAAATAATAATAATAATGATAATGATAAAGGAAAATGGTGTTTATAATTGACTCTGTTATAACATACCCACCTTTTAATAGCTAGACCAAAGCTACTAGCCACTCGCTAGCAGTCACTCCGCTAGCAAACAGTTTTCAGATACATATATGTCCATAAACACAAAAGTTGCATAAAATTCAAACCTTTTTATACTTTATATCCATTCTAATGTCCAAAGCTTTTTTAGTCGAGGGTACTATGCATGAGTTTCAGGGGCGGGACCAGCATTTTTTTTAATTGCTTAATTGCTAAAAACGTTATACATAACGCCGATCGGATAGAGGCGAAACATTGTTGGACAATTTTTATGTCAAAAAATTATATGTCTTCCGATCACAGGGGGAGGGGGCGTATACCCCACCTGAATCCGCCACTGACCTTTCTTTTCTTTTTTTTTCTTTTCATTTCTTGATAAAGAAATAAAAGACAATTGTGTGTTTTTCCAAAATACATTGCTGCACGTTGAGAGGATGAGAAATTATGAATGATAAAATACAACACTGCGAGAGGGGAGAAATAAGGAAATTCTTTTTTGAAATACAATTTTAAACAGCATTTTTCTTTAACAAATGAGCCCCCGAAGAAGCATTGAAATTTGGAATAAGATGATTGTAATTAACCTTATATATACAGTCCGCCAAAAGTTAAGCACCACCTATCTTTGTTGCATCGATTTTTTTTTTCATTTAAAAAAAAAAGTTTATCCTTGAAAAAGAGAAAATATTCATGTAGCAATTTTGCTAACATATGCCATAAACAAACCATAAACTTAAATTTGGTCACTGATGCAGGTTCTATGCATTTGAATTTTGCGTTCTTGGAAATAGTGAAAATTACACATATCAGAAACGGAATTTAAGTTTTACTTTGAATTTATTTTTTTACAACAATTAATCACCCAAAATCATTAAAAGTCTCTACAAATAATCTTTGGTATGTTCGGCCAATTAAATGTCAATATTCAAGTCTATAGGATGTGTAACCACCTCTCTTCCGGTACAGTTCCATAACACGGCGTCTCATACTCTGTACAAGCCTTCTGAACTTTAGTTGAGCAAATTTATTCCATTCATCAACAATTGCTCCTCTTAAATCGCCAATATTTTGCAAAGGTGGATCTCTGCGATTGAGATTTCTGCCAATGGCATCCCAGACATGTTCGATAGGGTTCAGGTCTGAAGACATGGAAGGCCAAAAGATAGTGTCAATGGCTTCTTGATCTTTGTAATCGGTTACAATCCTTGCCCTGTGTGGTCTAGCGTTGTTGTCCATGTACGAGGGTCTTGACGCAAGTTGGGGATTCTCAAAATGAGGGACTACAATGTTTCTAAGCACCAAAACCCTGTATGTCTGTCTGTTCATGTTACCCTGCAAAATATGCATACCCAGCTTACAACAGTATGAGAAAAAACCCCTTACTGTAACACCACCATCAACGATTGTTGTCGTTGGGCAATTGTTGATTTGATGATAAGCAGTTTTATTTCCCCACCAAACTCGTTTTCTGCCGTCTATTGGTCGTAACAGAAACCAACTCTCATCTGACCAATGCATATTTTGGCAGGTTCTCATGTTCCATCGTCGATGGTCATTAACCTTTTTAAACCTGATTATACGGTGCCTGGCTGTTAGGGCACGTCTTTTGACAACACGACGTGCTCTTAAGTAGCCTCTATGAAGTCGACGGACCAATGTTCGAACACTAACACGACCACCTGGAGGCCAGTGGTGTCTAAGCTATGGGGTAGGGGTAAATGGGTTAGCTTTAGCATGACCAATAAGTAGTCTGTCATCACGATGGGTTATTAAACGGGAGCTTCCGGACCTTGGTCTATCATTTACAGTTCCTGTGTCAATATGACGTTGTAAACATCTGATAATGACGGTGCGATTAACATTGAAATGGTTGCCAATGTTCCTAGTTCTCTTACCGGCATTTCAACGTTCAGTCAAAGATAACTTACCGCTTGCCATATTTCACAGTGACTTGGTGAAGGTCGAATTTCACCTGTACGCGGGACAGTAGGAAAATGATTTAAAGGCATCGAAACAGTGTATTTGTTAAAGTGCAGATGACCTTTAATAAAAGGTTGATTGGCGGGTATATCGGTTTTTTTGTTGTTGGTCGTAATGAATTTTCTTAGTGTATGCTATAGGCAATTCATTACACCAAACATAAATATTTTTTCCGCAATAGTTAAAAAAATTTTGACAGTTTTATTTAGGTGGTGCTTAACTTTTGGCGGACTGTTTATAACATATGATTACCTCCCTTTAAAACTTACTACTTTAAAATAAATATAATATGTAGTCTCTTTTGATGCGTAGAACAACAAAAACATGTGTCATAAGGCACACAGATGGTTTGTGAATTTTGTGTTCTCAGTGACATTAATCAAATTGCTAATTTATGAAGCTCCATTAACATGATTTAACTATGGTGGCCGGATGCGGCCATTTCGCCTTTTCGCGTTTTCGCGTTTTCCCTTTCACTTTGCAAACGCAAAATCGAGAAATCGAGAAATCGGGAAATCGGGAAATCGAGAAATCGAGAAAGCGAAATCGAGAAATCGGGAAATCGGGAAATCGGGAAATCGAGAAATCGAGAAATCGGGAAATTAAA